TGCTTTGTAGGGTTCGAACAACTCCAATAATCGAACCGAGTAGGTTTACACTTGTAATACGAAGTATGGACTATTCACTACTAGAATAGTACCCATTTTATTAATACTAATAATGATAATTACAGTAATAATAATAATAATAAATGCGAATCGTAAACAGCAGGAACAAGAACAGATAAATGAACTGATTGCTGGCAGCAATATATTCCTTTCATAAACCTTTGCAACAAATATATGTTTGGGAGCGACCATTTTTTCTACTGCTAGTCAACGTCCTACTATTCTTTTCCAATTTTTGCTTTTTCCTCACCACTTTTATTTATGCATCCTGGAATTGGAAGTAACTAAATGGGTCTGCAAGCGTGTAAAGACTACTAGGATGCTTCGCAAGGTTATTGAGAGTTCGAAAAAATATGACGAGTAGTATTGCTTGGGAGCATCATTTTCGCAGAGACGACAATGATGTTATGTCTTACTTAAAGGAAAGCGTACGTCTCTGCGTACGCTCAAAAGCGCTCCCTTATTGAAAAGCAAAATAGGTAGCTAGATTTTATAACGTCAAATAGGCCCGGGAAAGAGCACCTTAAAGGCCGACAGGTATATGGGCAATAATTGTTGACCCAGACCCATACTAAAACGTCCTATACGTACGTCGAAGGTCACAATGGCGATGCACAATATGGAATAGCGGCATCCTTCTACAAGTAGCCTTAACAGCAGGACGGTCAGTGTCATAGGCATAAATCTTTCCAGATCACGCCATGAGAACATTCGCATATTCGAATTAATGCATATAGCCAGCTTCAGTCGAATTTGTATCAGTGTAGAAACCTTGCGAACCATTGAGAAGTGAGAGCAGTGGTTTGACTACTTGGTATGTATTACTTTAGTCGACTAGACAAGGCAGCCTTAGGACTGGCAATATGAAAGTAACATTTGCATCCCTATATCCTGGTGCTCTACGTATGTGCACACCCTCTTGTAATGGCAATAGTCGTTGTTATTTTTAGGTAAAATCTAAATCTGGCCGCTGTTTCCGAGCCGGGAAACCTTGTTCAATAGCAATACACGAATTTTCTTTTGGAGATCTGGATCTCCGTTTTGCTGGCTCTAGAGATGCCAACGTAAAGCGAGTGAGTATCGCCCCAGCACACGTTCTGGTACAATGGGTATCTGTCGTAAATCACGCACGGATCTCATCCTTCGCATGGAAAAGCGGGTTCAAACAGGAGACGCAGAACTCTCGTCAGGCCAAGAAGGCTGTCTTACACTATCAAAAAATTACAAGTCTGAATATTGCTCCTTAAATAACACCGCTCGACCAGATTTCGAACATCTACAGCGAACTAAATTGTTCCATTGCCAGCCAGGTGTTGGTCCTTGCGAAGGTCTATTAGTAGTGATTAATGAAAAAATCGACGAGTGAATTCTAGAGGTCCCTTCAAAATATTGTATAATTAGCACGCAAAATCTAGATAGACCCGAGCCTATTATAGCCCGATAGCTAGCGATAAAACGAGGTTCGAAGGAGCTTATGTATTTTGCCAATTGCGGCCTTGCTAGCTTAATGTAGTAAACTGGTCGCCGTTGGATAAGGCGTGGATCATAAAGAATAGGATAGCTGTCCTATGTTAGGTTTGGTCTGATGTAGACAATAACCAACTACCTGTAACAGGTTCTACGACAAACATCTAAAGACACGAGTGTTATATACTACTATATGAGTGGTAGAAAGATAGTAAATTCCTCATTTCCTGATGACAGAAATATTTTAATAAAATAATAATGTTTATAATATCAAAAAAGAAAATAGTAATAAAAATGGAAATTGGGTAACTTCACCGCGAAGTGCTAGCCACGAACGAGCATTTTGGAAATATGAACTACTACCCCAAGTGTAGCTATGAGCGGGTCCGTTTAGGGAAATATGCACTTATCAAATACACAGTTTCATGGATTCGATAGGTGTGAAAATATGCTCTTTTAGGGAGCAGTGAAGTTTTCATTTTTTCGTCCTTTTATGAGCTTGCCTAAGATCGAGATATCGTACTTGCCCTTCTAGGTCGTAAGAACGAACTCGCCAAACACAAGAAGAACAGGTCACGTAAACATATCATATATATCCGGCTGACATATTCGTGGCTATAAGAGTTATCATAGAATTCTATATATATTTTGAATTATCTGTTCACAAAATGATGTTGTAACCGCAGCGTTGTTAGTCGTCTGGGTTATACATGTCGCAAGACTGTCTGCTTATACAGGCCTCTCAGCACTGATATTCAGGTTTACTCAAGGGCTGTGTGATGCTATAGTCATATCATTCACAGGCCTACGTACGAAGACAAAAGAAAGGTAAGTAGAAGCATCTTATTAAATAAACGGACAGACCAATCGTGGGTGTCTTCAGGAACTGTGCCAAAAATATCGAAAAGGAATATAACTTATAATTTAATAAAGGACGTGACCTTGGTTACTTATATGGCCTGCGCTGTGTGCCAGAGGCATTCTTCCGTCGTGAAATCTCGTACAAGTTACTAATTAAATGGTACGGTACATGACACATTGTTCCACCGTAATGAACTTCAACGTCCAATCCGCAAACGGATTCAATATAATTCTTCTTCGAAATTATTGGCGATAGATAAGAAGAAGCCCCTGCATGTTCATCTTAGATGTTTTGAAACGCTGATTATTGGCGGGGTTCAAAGGCTTTTTGGAATAGTTAGGAGCTATAGTTATATTTTAGCTTTGATATAAATATTGTTTCGAGAAGAGGGCACGCTTCCTCGAAAGCACTAACGACCGATTTTGTACTTATAGAATTCTGATTTTACTTTCGACAGCCCAATATACAACATATAACTAGATGTTGGATTTTTCTCTCAGCTGTTTCTTCCGGGCATTTACCGCTCGTATTCAGCAAATGTAATAACAGGCATCTGCTTAAAATAAATGAGGTGTTTTAATTGTATATGATGTATATAATATGAGTTTTGTGTAGTATAATTAGACAAGCTATCGATGGCTCATCGTTAGAGGATTCGTGGCGTCTAATAGACTCGGACAACTATATATAAAAATATTTGCGATACATTGATATACCAGATGCCTCTGAGCAGTAGTTTCGCTTGATTAAGACATCTTAGTTATGGCTTAAGTTACTAAGTTGGCTTTATCTACTATGTCGTCTTTAATCGATAGCATATGTATAATTGCTAGTGTTCAGTTGCCCACCCGCATTGCCTCTTTCGCCATTAGTCCCTGAGATGTCTTTTTTAATAATAAATAATAATAGGACAATATTATTTCGTGAAGACATCTGAGATCACCGCCGTCGCGGTGTCTTGGACGGCTAGACCTCTGGCTGAGAGAAGACTGATTTGAAAATATATTGCGCAGCAAATGTGCTTTAAAGGCGTCTGTACGACGTCATCAAGAAACCACTTATGCATACAATTGTGTTCCGCATACAAAGCAATTCCGGCTTCTCCGGATTACCTAATTATACAGTAAAACTCATTACATTCAATGTAGAGATGTTTGTTTCTTATTCACAGAAGATCTAACCGTAGCGAGAAGTCATCATGGCTCTGAAGTTTGTTTTTTTTACTTACTTTGAACAGCACATGTCTTTCCAAGTGTAGGGTCCATGTGCAAAATACACGCATGGTGGCACAATGTACACGGCACAGCCAATAAGGCCTGTATTTCGCTATTCACCAATGTCGTCCGCCAATTAGTGTATAATTTTGTTATGTTTCGAAATAACCTTCGACCATGGATTACTTCTCCGGCCTTCAGAAATTATCCGGCGTATTATTTTTTCCGTTTGTACGCGCACACTTACGAGGTTTTTTGCGAGTTATATATTCGAGGAATCATCGGCCCCTAACGTAACTACTGCGTCGGTTTCTGGTGGAAGCGATTTGCTTTTCGTCCTTTGTACATTCTTTGTCTCGTTTAAACTGATGGAGAGCACACAGAAAGCTCAGACATGTCTTACAGACTCTTACAGAAGTGACCTGAAATGGCCTGGCGTAGTATTGCATCAGATGAATCAAAGCCGGAACACTTACATAACCATGTTGAATAAAAAATGGGAGCTGATAAGCTGCTAAGCCCTATCTAGATTTTAAAATTGCTCTGAGCTCGAGAACGACTCAGAGTTTTAAAGTTTTACTAACTAATCGTAGCAATAATAAAGTTGATAAGAATTATATACATACTCATCAAGTTCAAAGTAAGGGCTGATTGAATTCCCATGAGTGACCTTTAGCATGTGTTGATATCCGGACTAAATGTGGTCACTTATCCCAAGCAGTACCGTTTACCACGTTCTGCTTGTGATCTTAAGTTTTCGAAACGTTAACGAAAATAACGTTAAATCAATTTTCATACGTGAAAATATTTATCATAAAATATGCATACTTCAAACAAAAAAACGTGATCAGAATCGACTAACTTCAAGATAACCTCACTTCCACGAGTCCTGCGGTCATTTCTGGATTTATTTTGGCAAAGTAACTTAAATATGATTATTCGATTAATCCTGTTGATGTATCATGGAAGATTGGCGGCATGGAGTTAGCAAAGTTAGGCTGTATATATGCGTTTCTCACCGAACACAACTGTAGCTTGGGGTCTATTTATCGGTGATAGCTAGTAAATATGGCGGATATATGCGTTTAGAGCGCGCAGTCTTTCGTTCATCTACGTCGCGAACAGTAACAAAAGCTGGATAAAACACATTTCGAAGAAACAAAATTGTGGGTATGCGAACATGGTAGGGCTTATGGTTTTGTGCATTCCATAGATATCCTCATTATGCAATTATGTTAGTTAAAAGATTTTTATTAAGAAAGAACTTCAAGCCTGTCTTGAACACGTCAAGGGGACGTTTGTTGACCCCGGGAACTTCACTGCTCACCCATATTTCAATAACTGCATGTTAAACTGTTATCAGGTATTATACTAACTATATTGTTTATACATTACAGGTTATATAATGTTTCTATAGCCCAGATGACTCGATACCAAAGCTGGCATCGAACACTTAGCGCAAAAGAGGCGATTTTCCGCTTTCGACAATTGCATCGAAATGAATACATCACGTATGAGTGCTTCAGGATTCTGCGCGAGTTATTTCTAGCCAGACCAAGACTGAATATATCGGATGGGCGAAATATGGACGCGCACAGAAGAGACGAAAAGCCGCTAAACGTTGCTAACATCCACAAGCAGTGCTATCAATATGGTAATATAGATAAAGAAATAGTAATCATCAGAACTTAGTAAAGTGAAGTTGATTTTCAAAGCGCTTGACCATCAGTACCGGCTTCTATACCTGAAATTTCATGTAGTACTTCGAAAATAAAATGCTACACCTTCTCCGATAGACGCGTTCTAGCCGCTAGAGATGATAGTTGGACCTGGAAATGGCACACGCTGCTAGATATATTAGATCATACGTGGTTCTCTATACTAGTAGATTTTCATAATCTTAAGACTACCATTGCCTTTGAGATATCGACACGGTTTAGTGGTTTCCACTTAACCCAACTTATTAATGCGAGCAATTAATTTTCACAAGTTGTTTTGTTTCACTTTTTCAAGTTTTTTTTTAGTGAACGACCTCTATGAGATTGAACTTCTTTTCATATGTCACATAACCTGGCTACGCCAATAGTAGTAATAAAAATGTCTATGACATTAAAAACATTTGTTTGACGTTTATATAACTAAAGTTACTGCAAATAAGTGAATAATAATCAAAAAAGAATAGCTGAAATAGAAATTTTCTAACTTTCGACCAAATATAACAGGTAAGTATTCCACCTGGTCTTTATGTGAGCTTGCAAAGCTGTTGGCTGCAACTTCACTAAAAAAAATTATTAAAAGATACTTATGAGCAATTATTAGTTAGAAATATAAAACACTACGTTCAGATAGTGCAGTACGAAAGCAAAGGTATCGGAGACGGAATGGGCTTTAGCGCCTCCTGTTGGAACTAAGCATATATAGGCAGTAGAAGGAAAATCATTCGTGAACTTGAGCCTATGCGGAAACAAACGTCACTCTCAAATTGATATTACACTGAACTATGTCAGGCCATACATAAGGTAAATGTTGGTGGATGGCAAAGATATTTCCGTGGCCTACGTCTGGTATACGACAAAGGTGCAGTGCAATTTTAATATAGTATCTTAATAAGTGCAGCATAATACTGCGGTCATTTAGAGAGCCAAAAATCGATAGTTTGGCCCTTATCGACACATTTCGAAATATGACGTAAAGGATATTCCTGATAACTAAATTTGTTCACAAAAAAAAGTTAGACCTTCATTTAATGCCTTTATCCATTTCATAAGTTATACATCTTACGGCAAGCCACAGTAGCATTAGATAACAATCATCATCCTCAGTTATTCTTACATCATTGTCAGTTGTTCGTGTTTTTTTCGTCTCGAGTTTTAACCTTATAGGCTTGATATTAATATACAAAATAGTAAATGTTAAATATCATCACTATCACATAATAGTAACAATTCAAACGTTTCAATCTTTTATCCCGAATCGCTGTTACAATCTTCATCAACAACGATAACAAGAGGTACATATGAAGTTCACAGCCCTAATACTTCAACTGCAAGTGCGACGGCAACTGTTTCTTTTCCAACTATTTACTTGCCTGCGTATCATTCATTGGCAAGTATCAAACTGTTTCCGACTCTCGTGCGGCGTATGAAATATTTGCGTATCTTATAGGTACAAACAGAGCGAGCGAGCTCGGTTGTTATGGCGATGTTGGCAAATCACCAGAATGCGCGTTGTCTCGCCTCGCTGCGCCATTCTTAATGTTGAGAATATGTATTTGTAAATGTGTGTGAGTGTGAGATCCAAGCTGATGCAAGAATCCCTAGCTAGTTGGAAGAAAAATCCCTAGACAACTTAGTAGCTGTGAAAAAGCACATTAATAATAAACTTTCTGTCCAATTGTCAGGAGTCTTTTTCAGAGACTGAGTACCCTGTGTATTCCAGTTGTCAACAGTAACGGCAGGGGCGCTCCTATTGTTCAAAGGGTTTTCTTTGTTATTAGCTCTATAAATGCGTCTGTTTGGATATTACATGTGATGAACGTGATGGCAGCCAGCTAAGTGATCCGGTAACACGGTCCCCAATGACTTTTCCTACGTTTCCCTTTTTCTCTGCGTCGGTCTTTTACGTTTTCGCCCTTCTGGGACAATGACGTTGAGTCATCGTACGCGCTTCCTTAACACTTCCCTTTAAAGTAGACTAATGGGCTTTAACAGAACTGGCTACAAGCTATTGGTACTGACCCTATATCCCAAGCAACAAATCATTCTTCATGTCACTAGGTCGCAACAAAATGAGAAAGGCACCTGGTTGACAATTGCCGGTAAACAAACTGCGTTGCCAAGTAACCTGTACGTTTCTTTAAAGGATTGTTGGCGCAACGAGGCCAAAAACAGACACTATTTGCTAAGAGTATTCGAACTAACTATCGTTTCACAAGTTGAAAAGAATTAAGCTAAGTCACATTATTTTCTTGTTGTTGTCAAACAAAGTTGTCATTCTCACCGGTAACTGTGACACAACGGAACAAAAAACTACACACTCACGGAGGTCTCGCTGTAATCAGCAAGTCAACAACCTCAACGACAATAAACACCGAAGCGGAATCTATTGGAAGAGGAGAGTTCCGTGAGGTTATAAACCTGCTTCGATTTAGGAGAACCCGTTCGTCGGACACGGATCCAGACAGAAATCACTTACAAATCTTGTAAGAACTCTGATCAGGACAACTAAAGAAGGCGAAGTCGCTACAATTTTTAATGTCCTTCCAGGAATAAACTATTACGATTAAATAAACAGTTGGTAGGCTGTTAATAATTGTCGGTCGATTTAATAAAGAGGCCGCGAATTCAGCGCTCGCAAAAGGCAAAATATTCATTGGCTAAATACCTCAGCTAGACGGAGACTGGGTGCCGATCCTTTTTGCAGCTTAAGATGAGTTTTCACACTGAAACGACGTATCATAAAAGGTAAGCCGTATGACTCTGTTTCACTTTAAGAAGCTCGCTCATAGAGCTTCTTTTGCCATGCGGATCTGAGTAACCAGCTTACAGTCAAATTAAAAGCCCTGTTTAGTATTGGTGGGAAATTTTGTTGGGACATTTAACTGAAGCTCCAGTGACTGGATATAAAACAAAAGAAAACAGCCAAGATATCCTCAAAAATGAGAGCGAAGGGAAGCTTTGACGTCAATGGCGAAGTACTCTTCGGAGCTTTTATATGAGAGACATCCATGAGTACCTAGCAGAACAATAGGAACGATATACCCAGGAGCTCCACTGCAGCCACCGTGCTAGATAAATACCGCACAATTCGGAGGCTACAGGGAGACAAAAAAAACAAGTTTCGTGCTTCCTGACGCAGTTAATGGTGGGAATTTTGAACTTTCAAAGTTTTATTCTCTGCGTAGGAAAAACCTTGTCTAATCTACGCGTGAATATAATTACCAATATGGTTTAGGGGATCAACCTCTTGTACACAGGAAGAATGCCAAGCCTGTCAAAAATAGACTGACTAACCTAAACCTTAAAAGGAGTTGCGAAAGCGGACATTTGTACCCTACACTTGCGAAAATAAAGAGAAACGTTAACTGGAGGAGACCCAAGCAAGAAAAACGCGTTGAAAACAGAGTTATTAGGACAAAAGCGCATTGAAAACTCCTTGAAATTGACCGGAGGACGCAGAAATGCCGACGTTTTAAAGAGTTCGTTGTTACAGGATACTTCGGCGATTTTCCTCTGCACGAGTCAGGGCGCATTCTATGCGTTAACAACCCCGGTTAACCACACACATTCGATACGGAGGCGCTCATTGTGTCTCCTGGGAGTTCTAGGATTAGTTTACAATGCAAAGTTGGGATGTTAGAGGGTGAAGTATGCAAGAAATGAATTATAGGTCTAGTAAGCATGACCTCGGCAACCCAAGACGTCCTCAGAAACGCCGCACGCTGCTCCGAAACCGGATGCATTGTCACGCCAGCGTGGTAGTTTGCAGTAATGCATTCGCAGTTCTCCTTTGCAGGAGAAGGCATGGAGGCAGTCGAACAAACAACGTTGGAGTAAACTACAATGTCAAAAATTTATCAAATCAAGTGCATATGTTCCAGTCAATTGTGCTCAGTGATTTTTTTTTCAAAAATTAGTGGTCTATCTTTATAATTATTTTTAAAAAAGTTTCAACCGTACAAGGTCGACCTTATGCAAATGCTTAATTTTACAAACTGTAATCCCATCCAGCTGAAATAATTTTTCAAATATTGTAGTTTCGATCTTTATGATTCATTGGGAAAATGTTTGCTTGACTGTGTTTACGGAGCAAGAGAACTTCCTTCGCTGAGTCACTACAGCTATAACATAAGTCCGTTGTGATAAACTGCATCAGCAGTTATTTCCTGGTACTACTTCTACCACTAAGTTGAGTTTATATCATCTTAATTATGATGAAAAACAAATATTGTGTGCCGTGATGTTTATCAAAACAAATAACAAATGTAAAATGGATGCAAGTATCACGTTAATATTTTATGTTTAGTAGCGTGTTGGCACTCGTTCTGTAACTATAATAGATGATATCTCCAACGATTTCAGTATTTTTTTTTCGAGATCGACACCATTTCATAAATAAAAATTCTATGATTTTTAAACAACAAGAAACTATTCGTTTTTGTATAAAGCCACGCTGTTCCAAAAAATTCGTGAGAAGGTCCTGTTTGATCCAATGCGTTCGGGATTGTCCATGATCAGGAGATGGCAATGTCTCGTGTTGGCAGGGGCTTCTTAAGAATATTTTTCGACGCAGCTCTCGCCTATTTGCTGATAAATAGAATTACTACCATTTTCTAGCGTCGTATACGAGCCTCGACGATGTGAACACGATTAGGAAGATTCGACACATTGTAGCATTTTGGTGCTGTAGTCACAGTACGCGATCTGCCTTCTTGTTGTTAAAAGACATGCTAAATTTGACGCACAATTATATGCCTTCATTCAAGCACACGTTCTAATTAGAAGAAGAGCAAAACATTTCGCAGGCAGGTTTGATTCAATTGTTTTTCACAGCCAGGAGCTACCGTGTCGATCGTACAATTCAAAACGTATAATTATATATATATATCTATATATATATATATATATATATATATATATATATATATATATATACGTTTTTAGCCTATATAGGTATATATAATGCTGACGAATCCATGATTTCAATTCGTATCTGCTTCGAGGAATGATACAGCCGATGGATCAGCGAAAGGGACTGATGATCGCCTCCAGCGTCGACCATTTTTCTTTAATAAGGAATTCTTTCTATCCAAAGCAGAAACCTTCAAAGCTTTTCGAAGCTATTCTAAGTACGCTTGTCAGGCGAGTGGCCCATAAATATAATACAACTCAAGACAGCTTCGACGTGTAACTGAGCCGATCTTCTGTTTGGAAACTTTCTCGTTCTTCAAAAACGATTGAAATATTATAGAAAGAACACTAACTACGCTTTCTGACATTTATTTTTTGAAAATAGCCTAAAACGACATTGTAAACAATGGTTTTGTCTCGTGCTTGTCGGCCAACCTCGTACATGTATATATACAGCAGCACAGATAGTTTACGTGCTAATTTCTACCTAAAGCTATTACAAAGTGCTTAATTTCCGTTAGATTTATTTCTTTTTTTACGTTGACCAGTGATTAATCTCTGTTGAACTATCAGTACACAGCGACTATATCTCTTTCAGGTAACCTTTAATGGAAACGCACATCGGAGTAAAACAGGTCGATGTAAGATCGAAGTCAAAACTTCGCGTAGTTTTGTCGGAGTGTAAGCTAATGCGATTAGGAGTTATGATATTTAATTACTAAATTTAAAACCGAAAATTATTTTATGGGATTCAACTGGAGTTAATCTGCCTGACCTATTCTTAACGGGCCCAAGAAAATTGATCCGCTGGTCTCGATACGTCTACGCGACTAGAAAGCCACTGTATGAAGCTATATTATATAGTGACATTGACTCAAAAAAGGCGAATAAAGAAGCAGCACTCATTGAAAAAATTCGGGTTTACACGCATGAACCCCATTTAGACAGAAATCGAAGTAAGCCCCGGCAAGGCTAGACGGGCTTAAATTACTAAAAGCGACCTTTAAGAATACTCCCACATTTTAACCGTTAGTTCGAGTGGGCTCAATGATCGTCGACCAGCGAATCGCTTACCGTATCGAACTGTGAGCCATGAAAGTATAGGTATTCTGTTAATAAATACACATCGATAAGCATCCCGACGGGCAATATTGTGCTAGAGAATTTTACGGCACTGCCGTATTAACACACAATCTTGTACATCTTCTAGATGAATGATCATTTCAAACTTCGTTGCGGACCCGCTTCTAACGTGTAGATCAAGTCAAAGTTTTTTACTCAAACAGAGTATTATATCGATTTTTGTAGTAACTCACGAAGGTTTATTAGGGTCCCGTAATATGTGTTATGTTACATTATAAAGAAATGTTTGTATTGTATTTCAATAGGCACGCGGCCATCAATGGCGAACCCATGGCTCTAGCATGATTGATATCGAATTAATAAAATATTTCGAAAAGTAGAATGCCCGTAAAACGTTCTGTTCTGTTCTATCTGCGAACGTAAATGAAATCGATTTCATAGCCTCTGCTAAGTGCTCACGCTTAACGTTCGGGGGTCACAGCAACCAAAAACAATGTCTCGAGGCTGGCGAGGGGTGCGAAAAATGCCAGCTATCTATTCAAAACTCCTAGGAAGTATCCTAGCTTTTTTATACTTGCTCTTTATTTCGCGAACTATATATGTGCCAAGCAAGATGGGAGACTGTAAGAACTACCGCAGAATCGATATTAATATATTATTCTGCTTTCTTTATGAAAGGAAAGTGTTTTTAAGCAAAGAACAAGTCCGCTTGCGGATCCTACCACATCTGTTATGATCAAACATCTCGATGTCTGCATTCTTATGGATAAAAGTAGAAAATGCATAGATAAAGCTAGATGTGCATCATAGTAACATTATTTGTTCCGTTGTTTTCCATCAAAGGAACAGCTAAGCTGTGCATGTAAATGGTTGCGGATCAATATTTGCTTGACACATACTGCCAATACTAACCCAGACTGTTATGGCGCGCTTTTTTAAATGCGATAATACATCGAACGTTGACTTAGTAAACTTGTTGATCACTAGGTCTACAATAATTCGATGTCCTTAACAAGGCCTACGAGGAAACGTAACGTTCACTCGATCAACGTGCGGAACGCACAAAACAATGGATCATACAGTTAATTCGGACGCGATTTAAGCGATTGTATGTGCTCACGGCTACTTGGCTCGGGAGACACAGTTTGCTTTTAGAGAGCTACGCCTTGAGGCTGAGTGGAATTAACTGTCTTCGTGGGAAAGTTCGTTTTGATTTGATAAAGCAAAGGCGCCATCAAAGCGGGTGACGAAAAGTCTCTCAGGGTGGACCATTGGACGGGGATTTGCTACAGCCATAATATGTAGCCAAGAACAAAGAGAGAATGCAAGTAGCTGGCCTTAAAAATGGCGAAGATAAATCTGCCTTCGATTGAATTATTTTAGGTTTAGATGAAAGGTACGCTTTCTGCAATTGAACGATGAATACATTTGTACGTTAGGCCTATGGATCAGTCTATCAAAAATTAAGCGCTATGCAAGGACTTTTTTTTTTATAAAATAGCACCAATGTCACAGAAAAAAACGGGAAAAAAAATCAAAAGAAATGCGATGCTGTTGTGTAAGGAACACCACTTCCTTCTCCCCCATTAATCGAATACAATCTTACTGAACTGTATGATCCTAAATCCAAGCTTCATACAGCATTAGCCATTTAAATAAAGAAAAAAGATTGAATAGTGACACTTAAATTTGAGGACGTTTAGGACACAATAATTTTTATTTTCAAAATTCTGTTCCTGTTTATAAAAGCAAAACCGCTTTTTGTCAATTGTTATACGCAATAATCAGAACCGATATCTGTTTGAGTTATTAGCTGGCATACACATTTCAGAAAAATAGAATCCGACCTCAAAAACACTAAGGACCGTTTACGTCTTGGTCTTAAAAAGCTTCATTCGTCACCTTACAGAAGCATTGTGTCAATGATATTCCCTTGTTAGTTCTTGCCTGACCAAGGCTATTGTTTCAGCTTGAATCGTCAGATTGGATTACTGAGGAAGCAATACCATATGTTTTCTATTCGACTGAAATTCCTCCTGGTTATCTACGGTATCGACAATGTGGCTCTCGTCTTCATTTTCAATTTCAGCTTCATCTGCTTGCTCATTCGCAGCCTTCGTTCGTCGAGTAAGCTTCTTGAGGTCTTTTACATCAACAGCATTTACTAATGCTTCTTCCTGGTGGCCTTTAGCTGTTGGCGGGAAGGAGCCTCGTCGGGATCCACCCCCCTTACGTCGCACCCCCAATCGACTTGACCCAGGGGTAAAAGACACTGATAATACCGTGAGGGACGACCGCTTTGTTTTCGGTTCGGCTCCTTCATCGTTGGTGCTTGCACCAACCGATGCATCTTTTTTTATTCGCTCCTTGTTCAAACCGTTCTGCGAGGAAGAACCACAAGCTGTTAGAAGCAGATGTGTTGGCAAGTGCTCGTGGGTAGGCCTTCTGTAAAACATCGATAAGCATCCGTTAGCCAGGCTGTTTAGGTCGTTGTCATGCTGACGATGTGTAGTACAGCGAGCAGGTTATAGGTTTACTTAAGATAACGGTCGTTAATGTTAATTTCTCACTCTCTTTTTGAAGACTTGTTGGCAAAGTCGCGCCGTCCAGCCGGCCCTTTGGCCCACCGCGACGGATTGGCTATGCATCATCTATCGAAACAGTGTGCACTTGCATGTGATATGTTAGACAAAAAAGATTTACTGATTATGATTGATTATGCATTTGGGCTTGGTTTCGATGAACAAACTTTTCATGTATTTGCACATTTTAAGTTAACGATATATGTGTATACGTGAAAAGTATATATATATATAGTCTATAGTATATATATAGTCTTACATTAATTAAGCTACACGAAAGGACGATGCTGCCTGTTTCTTTCGAATTATCAAAGATTGGCTTCAACCGATCAGCTCTGACTATTATGCTACATATGGAAAATAAGCGATTTATAGGTAACTGTAAGAATTGATCCGTTCACATAATCTGTGCGCGACTCTGCTATGGATTGGCGAGGGCAGTTGCCTACCGGAGCCTTAGCTTACTTGCGTATACGACACACTATACAAGATAGTTGGCCTTCTGTGTTTTGAAAGGCAAATTTATCTCTGTAAGTGCTTAAAGCGTTAAACGTTATGTACGTACGTTTTGACAAAGTAGTGAGGTGGCAAGAGGGGTTCATCGGGATCTTTTGCTAGTTCATCGAGTTTAATCTTCCGACCTTCGCCAATGGGATAGAGGGGTCTATAATACGTCTCGCGAACTGTGCCGAAAAGCGATGTATCACTTTGCACACTCTGGGTGCTTGTTGCCCGTGAAGTGTCCTATGAAAGCGATTCCGTCGAAAACAGACATTATTTCTTCGG